TATGAAGTGATTACCAATAGTGACCTTGTTCTCTTTGAGCGTTAGCGCTAACGTTCATAAATCGTTTTCTTGCCTTACTTCCACACACCGCTCTTTCTCCGCTTTTCGTTTTCTCTCTTTCTAAAGTGCTGTTCAATCAGTAAACGTGGAAAAAAGCAAAGACGCTGAATGGTTCGTGTACTTCATGTCTCGGCTATCAATTTAAACGCTTTGGTTTCTTCATTACTTTTTCTGAAAACGTCGTTTATCTTTCCGTATGGCTACAGAGATCCGTTTTTACTAGAAAAAGACCTTAGATCCCATGAGCCCATATTGGACTCTAGGTTCAAGTAAATTCCAACAAACTAACTCTGGCGATTCTGATTGGTGCACCACGGCAGATATTCTGGAAATTCACTCAAGGTATGTTCTACCCAGTGTTCTTTGTATGGAGTTTCACTTGGATACGATGACGGTTTCGTCAGAGTCATTCCTGTAGCAGGTGTATACGGCACGCAGAATGGACGCCGAACGCAATTTTGAAAACCTCTTCATGGGGTCATCCAGGCTCTACCATGCTGATGTTTACGATAAGCTTGGAGTCTTTTGACACTCAGAACTTAAGAGAAGTGCTCGAGCGAAGGGGGCTGCATACATTGAATCCAGAATAACAACAGAATATCAAAACAAACTGCGCGAGTTCAACTAACCCTTCCTCGAACTTCGGGATAGAAGAACATCAAAGCCTATTTTTAAAATGAGGAAATGGCTAATCGCTGTTCGAACGTGCACAAAGTTATTAGCATATCACTCCCGCATTTCATTTTTAGAAATTGTAATAGATTTGTTGGTTCTGAATGTGTTGATTTCATTTCTAAACTTTTAATGTGAGACAATTATGCACAGCAAAATAGTAGGGCGAGATAACGCGTTCCAGCTGCGTCCGGACATCGGAATGTGGCGCACTCGAGATGCCGTGTTTTCTTTGCAAGATGCGGGCGCGCCAAAGCGTTGTCTTTGGCAGCATTTTCCCGACATATACTGCAGTTTCGAAACTTTGTCGCGAAGCCGATTACTTTGTATACAGTTCCTCCTTTACACAAAACTTTGGGCTGCGCCAGTTAACAGCGAATGTCCGAGTAGGTTGTGGCTGATCTGCTAGATTGGGAACGACCTGCGGAAACAAGTGAATTGGGACGAATTCTTTTGGAGAAAACGCAAAGTAACTGGATTGCAGCAGGCCAGGTGTGTGTGTCGCTACTGAGCAGCGTGAGCTACCATTTGGCTAGAGTTGATCCCATTGAAATTTCATATAAATTCTCTTAAAATCTTTGAACAGCACTTTCACATATTGTCCTTCGTAATAAAAAGATTGCAACAAAAGCTAACTTATTCAAAATAGTGATGAATGAAGCCGCAAACTTGATTTGTAACAGCAGATTACAGACCTATGAAAACGGGAGATGTTATTTACACAATCGCGGAATCAACGGTATCGACCACCACAGCGACAACAGAGCTCGATACATCCACTTCCACCATGACGTCAACACCTTCCACAATTGATGTGCAGACATCAACTTCGACAATGAAAATCACCACGATGAGAGCAACACCGTCGTGCACAACAAAGCCTAAATGTGTT